GGTCTGTATTTAAATTATTAAAATTACTGTTCTTCAAAAACAATACATACAACATAATATGCAAAAAATATACTCTAGAAAGAGTAAAATACCCACAAGTTTCAAAACTATGTCAGTATAACACCATACATTATGATTAAAATTATCTTCAAATTTATCACAAATTCTTATAGAAAAGATTTTGTAACAATCACACAATTTATTGAAGTTTGTTGCAAACTAGCTGCTATCACCATATGTAACCCAATAAAAGGACCAAATTAAATGTAATTAGCTAGCTGCCTTCTCACACATGATTTAGTTTTCCACAAAACAACGAGCAACAATTGAAAGTAGATTACTTAAAAATTGTGTAAACTAAAGGTGCAGTGTGGATATACTTTGGTTTGAAATACCAAAAGAAAATGCAATTCCAGAACCAGAAGACAAAGACAAAAGAAATGGTTGTTACTACTAAAATCAAAAGTGTTCTTTCCAAAAATTAACGTAAAAATTTTTTTTCAGTCTTTTGTAGAAGCAGTAGAGTAATTAATCATCAAGCTCATTAATTTTTATTCTCACAAGACTTGGAAAGTTGGAATAATCAGAAACATTAATCATTTAAACTGAGCAACCTTGAATTATTCTAAAATAATAATGGCCGTATTCTAATTACTTTAGTTTGAGTAATAAAAAACAGTAATAATCAGAAACACTAATTTTGGTTACCTTCTTTATATACTGTCCATATAAAGACTTGGTCATTTTAACAATCTTTTAACCACCATGTAACCATGAAACTACATAACAAATTTTAATGTATTAAATGTATTTATATGAAATTTGGCAAGCTTTTAGTAAATATTACAAGTACTTTGTGCACAAAATCAGATATTTGAATTAAACATTTTTACTAAAGATTTGTCGGTGAATTTATGGAGTTATAGTTTGACTCAGGCTCTCACTAGTCTGAGTTCATGGTGGTTTTCATGTTAAGATTAAAAATATTTTTTTTTCCTCACCCAATATCCAAAATAAAACAAGGTACATCTTCTTGCAAAGCCAAAAGCTCCAGGGCTCGCTCAGTCATCTGAGATTGTATTTCAATCATTCGAGTACTGTAAAATGGTAATTATTCAGTATTTCACTATTCTGAATTTGATCCCTTTCACATTATATATTTAGAAACATTAAAATAAAATTTAACAATAAACAAATGTAAAGCTTGTTTGTTTGTAGTTATGCACAAAGCTACACAATGGGCTATCTGTGCT